CTCAGAGCTGAGATTTTGGCATTTGCTTATGTCTCTGAATTAGTGCTACAGGACTCCACTTTCCTCTTGAAGTTTTCCTTATTTCCACAGAGGCCCAGTTATGTGCCTAAAGAAGTTTAAAATGTTTTATGCAGCATTTCAGGTGTTCCGTAATGCTCTAACTTAAGGTTATCTTATTCACTCTATTGTCAGAAACTAGCGTTAGTTCATTTTTGAAAGCACATGGGAGTTTTTGTTTGTGGAAAATAACTTTTTGATCTTTTGCCCATGACAAGACAAAATAAAACTCTCATAATATAACTAAATGACACTGTGCAAATAATACACAAGATTCATTTTATTCTCTGTTGTCAGAGGTACAGCTCTGTAAAGGGCTCTGAGAAGTTAGGTCAGGAAGATAGAGCTATTTTCAGCCATGTAAAATAATTCTGCAAAAAAAACTACAGAGTATAGTCTAATATTTCACTGAATTGAAAGGTATGGTGATCCCTGGTGCGATTCCGTCCTGCGCGTCTGCTCCGCTGCAGCACCGGCGCCGTTTCTCTCCGCCCGCCTTCTCTGACACCCAAGTGCGTGCTCCCACCCCATGGAAGATTCTATGGACATGGACATGAGCCCTCTGCGGCCCCAGAACTACCTTTTCGGTTGTGAACTAACGGCCGACAAAGATGATCACTTTAAGGTGGATAATGATGAAAATGAGCACCAGTTATCTATACGAACGGTCAGTCTAGGGGCTGGAGCAAAGGATGAGCTGCACATTGTCGAAGCAGAGGCCATGAATTACGAAGGCAGTCCCATTAAAGTAACACTGGCAACTTTGAAAATGTCTGTACAGCCAACGGTTTCCCTTGGCGGCTTTGAAATAACACCACCTGTGGTGTTGCGGTTGAAGTGTGTGGTTCAGGGCCTGTGCATATTAGTGGACAGCACTTAGTAGCTGTGGAGGAAGATGCAGAGTCAGAAGAAGACGAGGAGGAAGATGTGAAACTCCTAAGTATGTCTGGAAAGCGGTCAGCCCCTGGAGGTGGTCGCAAGGTTCCTCAGAAAAAAAGTAAAACTTGAAGATGATGAGGATGATGACGATGAGGACGACGACGATGAAGATGATGATGATGATGATTTTGATGACGATGAAGCAGAAGAAAAAGCTCCAGTAAAGAAATCCATACGAGATACTCCAGCCAAAAATGCACAAAAATCAAATCAAAATGGAAAAGACTCAAAACCATCAACACCAAGATCAAAAGGTCAAGAATCCTTCAAAAAACAGGAAAAAACTCCTAAAACACCGAAAGGACCTAGTTCTGTAGAAGACATTAAAGCAAAAATGCAAGCAAGTATAGAAAAGGGCGGTTCTCTTCCCAAAGTGGAAGCCAAGTTCATTAATTACGTGAAGAATTGCTTCCGGATGACTGATTTGGAGGCTATTCAAGATCTCTGGCAGTGGAGGAAGTCTCTTTAAGAAAATAGTTTAAACAGTTTGTTAAAATTTTCCGTCTTATTTCATTTCTGTAACAGTTGATATCTGGCTGTCCTTTTTATAATGCAGAGTGAGAACTTTCCCTACCGTGTCTGATAAATGTTGTCCAGGTTCCATTGCCAAGAATGTGTTGTCCAAAATGCCTGTTTAGTTTTTAAAGATGGAACTCCACCCTTTGCTTGGTTTTAAGTATGTATGGAATGTTATGATAGGACATAGTAGTAGTAGTGGTCAGACAAATGGGAATGGTGGGGAGACAAAAATATACATGTGAAATAAAACTCAGTATTTTAATAAAGTAGCACTGTCTATTTAAAAAAAAAAATAAAAAAAAAAAAAAAAAAAAGAGAGAGAGAATCCAAGATGGCTGCTCGGGTAGCCGCACGCAACAATTTTAATAAAATACAACTAAAATATAAAATGGACATCACCCAGAACTACAGGAAAGTCGACTGACTGGAAATTCTACAACAAGAAGCAAGGAGATAACCAGAAGGAAGCGCGGAGGAGCTGGAAAAGCCTAAGGTACGGAGACACGCGGCGCGCGGAGAGGACGGAGCCGGAGAGGAGGGAGCGGAGTGCCTGGCGGGCGTTCCCTGGCGGGAAGGAGATAAAACTCCGACTGTGCTGGGCCCCCGACTGCTCTGAACCCCAGGCCTAGGCCAGACCCCGGGGACCCAGGCTCACACAGAGGGAGCCGGGCTGAAAGGCGGAACCTGGGGAAGAGGCGAAAGGAGGTCCTGGCGGCGCCGCGCAGAGACGGCCGGCTGTGCCGCGGGATTGCCTGGCGGGAAGGAGACAGGGGCTCCAGTCTGCTCTGAAGGCCACCTCCAACTCCACTTCCAACTGAACTGAACCCCAGTTCCGGGCTCAGTGGGGGAGAGCATTGACTGTTTGGCAGCAGGAGATCGAGGGCGCCTTTTTCTCAGAGGCGCTTACAACAAGTACTGAAGGACCCTGAGTCTCAGGAGTCGCATAGGGCAGGGCTGACGGAAGCCAAAGCTGTAGGCTCCACCCTGAAACCCCGCCCCATCAGGAAAGCTGCCTGCGAAAATGCCTAAACCAAATAGATCACAAACGAAAGAAATGGAGGACAAAAAGCGACTGGATATAGAGTTCAAAACCACACTTATAAGGTTTTTCAAGAGTTTCCTAGAAAAGGCGGATAAAATAAATGAGACTTATGAGGATATGAAAAGGGATCAACAAGAAATAAAGAATACATTGTCTGAAATAAAAACTATTATACAGAGTCCTAAAAACAGAATACAAGATCGCAAGAATCAAGTCAAAGATTTGGAACATAAAGAGCCAGAAGATACTCCTCTGCAGAAGCTAGAAGGCAAGAGAATCCAGAAAATTGAGAATCAAGTCAAAGATTTGAAACATAAAGAGCCAGAAGACACTCCTCTGCAGAAGCTAGAAGGCAAGAGAATCCAGAAAATTGAAGATGATGTAAGAAACCTCTGGGACAACTTCAAACGATCCAACATCAGAATTATGGGGGTCCCAGAAGATGAGAGAGAGCAAGATATCGAAAACATATTGAAAGAAATAGTGACAGAAAACTTCCCCCACCTGGGAAAAGAATTGGACTTACAAGTCCAGGAAGCACACAGAACTCCAAATAAAAGGAATCCAAAGAGGACCACACCAAGACAAATCATAATTAAGATTCCAAGAGCAAAAGACAAAGAGAAAATATTAAAAGCAGCAAGAGCTAAGCAGGTAGTTACCTATAAAGGAGCACCTATACGATTGTCAGCTGACTTCTCAACAGAAACCATGCAGGCCAGAAGGGAATGGCAAGAAATATTCAAGGTGATGAATAGTAAGAACCTACAGCCAAAGATAATCTATCCAGCAAAGCTATCACTCAGATTCCAAGGTCAGATAAAGAGCTTCACTAATAAAAAAAAAGCTAAAGGAGTTCATCAACACCAAACCAGAATTATATGAATTGCTGAAGGGGGTTCTTTCAGAAGAGAAAGTAAATAAAGATAAAAATTATGAACAACAAATTCGTAACTGTCAACAAGTGAATCTAAAAACCAAGGAAATTTAAAAAAAATCTAATGAACAATATTAACTGTTGAACATAATAGAATCAGAGGTATGGAAGGGGAGTGAACTGATGATTCTTGGGGAAAAGGGGAGAGGGGGATGTGGGAAGAGACTGAACATAAACTGTGCACCTATGGATGAGGACAATGGGGGGAGGGGAAAGGACAGAGGGTGGGGTGGGAAGGGGGGGAAGGGACATTTGTAATAATATGAACAATAAAAATTAAGGAAAAAAAAATTAAAAAAAAAAAGAAAAAAAAAAGAAAGGTATGGTGAATATTTAAATGTGTATGTGTAAATACATCCTACCTAATAAAAGAGTAATATGCAAATTAACCACTACTCTGCTACACCCACCAACCAATCAGAGTGAGTATGCAAATTAATACAACCAAGATAGCTGTAACCACAGATAGCAATTGAGAGGCTTGGTCTTCCCCAGCAATAGAGGAAGCCAAGCTTTCCACACACCCTGGCCAGCCTAGGCCTCTCCTCAAGGATACAAAGTTTCAATTATAGAAGATAAATCCCAAGAAAAATGGTGGCAGCCATGGAGCTGGAGAGAACAGGCTAGGGTTTCCCTTTGCAATGCAGGAAGCTAAGCTTTTCCACCTGCCCTGGTCAGCATAGGACTCCACTCAAGGATATAAAGTTTCAATTATAGAAGGTAAACAAATCCAAACAGAAATGGCGGCAGCCACTGAGCGAGCAGGGGGCTTGGCGTGGCTCCAGGCTACAAAGTTTCAATTGTAGGAGGTAAATAAATTCCAGATACCAGGGCCTCCGCTTGGGTCACCAGGGGGGCATGGCCGGTCTGCAAACCACCACAGGTCCCACACCCCAAGGGAACCCCCACCCTTATCCGGACACCCTTCAGAGCAAACCAGCTGGACCTCACACATGCACTAGGCCTCTATCCTATCTAATAAAAGAGTAATACGCAGATTGACCATCACTCCAACACACAAGATGGCTGCCCCCATGTGGTCAAAGATCCTGCCCCCATGTGGACACAAGATGGCCAGCAGGGGAGGGCAGTTGGGAGACACCAGGCCTGCAAGGGAGGGCAGTTGAGAGGGTCCAGGTCTGCAAGCGAGGGCAGTTGGAGGCAATCAACCCTGCAGGGGAGGGCAGTTAGGGGTGACCAGGCTGGCAGGGGAGCAGTTAGACATCAATCAGGCTGACATGGGAGTGGTTAGGGGGTGATCAGGCTGGCAGGCAGAAGCTGTTAGGGGCAATCAGGAAGGCAGGCAAGTGAACAGTTGGGAGCCAGCAGTCCTGAATTGTGAGAGGAATGTCTGACTTCCCAGTGGGATTGGGTCTAAACAGGCAGTTGAACATCCCTTGAGGGGTCCCAGATTGGAGAGGGTGCAGGCTGGGCTGAGGGACACCCCCTCACCCTGTGCGTAAATATTGTGCACTGGGCCTCTAGTATGTGTAATATTTTACTAACCTTCAATAAATAGTTCATCCAACACCATTTTCTTGTTGTAATGCCAATAATTCCACCATCAGGAAGATTTTCCTTGCTTCCCAGTTTTACAAATGTGGTAATATTTTTTAGATAGAGGATACCATTGATTAAAAAAAATACTCCATCAGGGGATAGGCTCACACCAGACACATTGCTTCTTTCTTCGTCAGTCAGGATGCCTGGAGGCACTCTGATTGTTGTCCAAGTGCGAAATGAATCGTTGGTTTGAAAGGTCTCCATATGGGCTACCAGAACAATAGATGATGGAACACAGGCAGACGAGACTATCATTAACTGACTGCCAAGTGGTGAAGAGATTGGTAAAAAGCCAGGAGTCTCAGGGATTGTCAACCGAGGAAAACCCAGCAGGAAAAGGACATCTGAAACAAAGCAATCTTGAAAAGTCACCTGATTTCCTCTGATATCTTTTATTGTATCCATTGATGTCATTGGTATTGAGATATGCCAGGCCCTAAGAAGAGGACAGAAAAGATAAGAATTAACCGAAACTCAGTGGATAGAGTGTCGGCCTGTGGACTGAAAGGTCCCAGGTTCGACTCTTGTCAAGGGCATATACCTTGGTTACAGGCACATCCCCGGTGGGGGGTGTGCAGGAGGCAGCTGGTCGATGTATCTCTCTCATCGATGTTTCTAGCTCTCTATCCCTCTCCCTTCCTCTCTGTGAAAAATCAATAAAAATATTAAATATATATATATATATTTTTTTTAAAGAAAAAATAAGAATTAAATGGTCTCTCTTCTCCCATCCATCTTGCAGAGTGTTGGCATTTATCATCTTTAAAACTTAAAAAAAATTATCAACATAAACCTGGGTAAAATAAATCAAATAGTATTAAAATGCTACCCATTTCTCCTCATTCTTCACTCTTGTTCCCAAAGGATAACTATCTTTTTTTTTATTTTAAGTTTTTATTGATTTCAGAGAGGAAGGAAGAGATAGAACTAGAAACATCCATAATAAGAGAGAATCATCAATTGGCTGCCTTCTGCACACCCTCTACTGGGGATTGAGCCCACAATCTGGGCATGTGCCTTGACCAGGAATTGAACCATGACCTCCTAGTTCATAGGCTGATACTCAACCAATGAGCAACCCTGGCTGGGTGAAGGAAAACAATCTTGACTCTTACTGCTCCTTCATATTCTCAAATAAATAATCTTAAGTATAACTTTTACACATTGGCTTCTTATACGACGGATGAAACTGCTATCTCTCATAGCGTATACCTTCTGACACATTTTTTCTTTCAAATGTCACAATGTTTAGCTAACTGGTGTTTATATTGTTATTAACATGTATATATTGTTTACTACTGAGCCAGTTATTATACTAAGATTGTTTTCTTTGATAAATGTATATTTATAATACTTTCCCTAGAGTTAATATTTTATTTTGAAAATTTGTCTAGTGTTCTAACTTTTCCAATAGGTAGCTGAAATGGCCCTTCATCATGGTTTCCATGTAGTGAATGCAGAGGTAATCCAGCACTTGTTTGCTGGGATTTCCCTTCATTTCTCTCTGGGTTGAAGCAGCATTTACTGGATCTAATACTTTGATCTTGTTTTGCTAACACATATTCTTCAGTAAGTACTCTTTGTCCAAGTGCATCTGAAAATAATTCTTTTGAGATCCCGAAATTCAAAAATATCTTTAACACATTTGTTTTATAATTTGTCTGGGCAGAGACTTCAGAGCCTGGTCAGCATTTTCTCCAGTCTGTTTGTATTCAGGGTTACTAATGAGAGTGACACATTGATTACTTAAATGGCTTGCCTTTCTATACGTTTTTAAGGTCTTCCCCTTTGTTCTTGGAATTCTAAAATTTGACAGGGCTGGGTCTTATCTTTTGAAGTGGACACATAAGGAATTTGTGGAAACAAGCACTCAGACATATATCTTAGAAGTGAGGGGAAGTTCTGAGGAACATTTCTCAGCAGGCCCAACCAGACACATCAGGCTGCAGAATGGTCAGGAAATCTTCATTAGTTTCCTATTTCCTCAATGAACACACACTTGGGTTGGTGGTGATGGCATTCTGCCCACTCAGAATGAGGTCTTGCCGGGTCAAGAGGACCCCATGTTGGAGTAATTATAGGGTTGTCATCAAACCGCTATGCCCTATGAAAATCAGTGCAACTCTGATTCTGACTCTAACATCTATTTCAAGTTCAATTACAAAAACAAAAAATCACCGGTACCATTTTGTTACATTGTCCACTGGCTATAATAATCTCATACTAAGGTGAACACCTACCTGTGTAGTAGTCACCCAGATCCAGATTCAGAAGATACCAATACTGTGGAAAGTTAATGTCTCTCCTTCCCTCTTCTCTACCTGCCACATTTTTGTTTGCATTGTGTCCACATTCCTGTGCTTTTAAAAACTAGTTTTGCCAGATGTATGTCTTACTAAATCATAGAGAATGAAAGGAAAAAATAGAAAAATCCACTAATAGAGAGACTTCAAAGTCCCTCTGTCAGTAATGAACAGATCTAGAAGGTAGAAAATCAGTAAAGACATAGTTGAAGGAACAATACCATCAACCAATAGATCTAATTGGTTTAAGACTACTTCATCCAACAACAGCAGAATATACATTCTTCTCCAGCTCACATACCGTGTTTCCCCGAAAATAAAACATCCTCCGAAAATAAGACCTACTTACAGGTTTCCTTCTGAGTGAAATATAAGGCATTCCCCCCGAAAATAAGAACACCCCCCCCCAGGCTCTGTCTCAGAATGAAAATTAATTTACCGTAAGCTGGTCGCTAGGGCCGCCCCGACTGGCGTCTAGCAACCAGTGATGTTACGCGGAGTCCTGACATCACTGCTGTGTGGAGGCGGAGCAGAGGTCGGAGTGAGGGTGAGGGTGAGCGTGGGGTGGGAGAGAGGAGGAGACTTTCGCAGATGCGTGTAGAAGAACAGAGGATTAGAGCAGACGGGATGCGGCGAAGGTGGTGAGTGCTGGTCTGTCTCTGGTGACACTACCTGATGATGCTCACGGCTGTCCTCATGATGACTGAAGGTTCTTAGTCAGTGGCAGACCCTGCTCCAGCCCAGATCCAGGCCCCAGCAAGCCCAGTGACAGTCCCCAGGCAGGCCCCATGGGGTAAATGTCTGATAAATGGGTAGGAGGGATGTCTGGTGAAGGTGTTCAGTGGCAAAGGAGTGGAGGGAGGGGGATCACTTAAAATGACACAGGAGGATCAGAGGGGGCAATCAAAATGACACAGGAGGATCAAAAGGAGTTACTAAAATGGTAATCCCCCCTCTGATTCTCCTGTGCCATTTTGATTCCCCCCTCTAACCTCCCTTGTGTCATTTTAAGTGATCCCCTCCCCCCACCTTGATACCCCAATTACTTTTTTTTACCCCTAGAAATGAGTGCAAAAAAAAAAAAAAAAAAAAAAAAAAGCTACTCCATGGAGTACAAGAAAGGAATCGTGGAAGACTCTTGGGCCAAAATCTTATTGCCTTCTGCAAAGAGAAGATGTTGAGAATCTGATTGGTTCGAAAATGGTGAGCAGAGTATGGTAACCTCATTGAACAAGTGGACAAGGGAAATGCTAAAAAGCACAAGTGTGGATCAGGTTGGCAACCATTATTTTCCGAGCTGGAAGACCTGATCTGTGAATGGGTTGTTGACAGGAGAGCAAAGGCTTTGGTTGTAAATAGGGCTCAGATTCAAGAATTTGCCCTTGCAATGGCACCACAGTTTGACATAGCCCCTGAAGACTTCAAAGCATCACAATGCTGGCTGGATAATTTCCTTCAGCGAAGTGAACTGTCTTTAAGAAGATCTACAACATTGTTTAGGTTGGAAGATACTCAAGTTATTAAGCGAGCACTTGCATTCAAGTCCTTTATTGATGATGCTGACTTCTCTAAATACAATCTTTCCAACATGATTGCTATGGATGAAACTGCAGTGTTTATGGGCCAATCGTCTCAAACAACAATTGAACAGCGGGGTGCCTCTTTAGTGTACATTCTCTCCACTGCTTACGAAAATGCACGTGTTTCCTGTATTTTGGCAATTCATCTAGATGGCACTAAAATCCCACCTTTAATCATTTCTAAGGGCAAGAAGAAAAAGATTGAACGTGTTTGGGGCATTTTTATTCTTGAAACTGAAAAAGCCTGGGCCACACAAGCAGTTATAAGGAAGTGGGTGGATTTAATGCTGCCGCTTGTTATGCGAGGGAGCCAAAGAGGTTTGCTAGTCTGGGATACAGCCAGCACTCACCGGGCTAAAGACATGAAGACATTTCTTCACAAAAGAAAAATAGATCAGCCGAACCCGTTTGGCTCAGTGGATAGAGCGTTGGCCTGTGGACTGAAAGGTCCCAGGTTCGATTCTGGTCAAGGGCAGGTAAATTGGTTGCGGGCACATCCCCAGTGGGGGGTGTGCAAGAGGCAGCTGATCGATGATTCTCTCTCATCAATATTTCTAGCTCTCTATCCCTCTCTTTTTCTCTCTGTAAAAAACCAATAAACTATATTTAAAAAAAAAAACAGATCAGATAATGATTCCCACAGGAATGATGGCCTATCTCCAGACTCTTGATATTGCAATAGACAAGCCATTCAAAGACAATTTGCGCATGGAAATTAATAACTACGTTGAAAATAGAATGGAGAGAAATCAGCGTGGAAACTTTGTGAAACCTAAACTGCAAGAAGTTGGGACTTGGGTGAAGAATTCATGGGAGAAAATCACTGACAGTTGCATTGCAAATGCACTGGGAGCAGGCTACCTTGACGAGAATTACTCATTTAAAGACAGTGCTACTGCTAAACATGAGAGATTTAGTCCACTGATTCTGAAAGAAATGGAGTCACAAGAAATTCACGAGGAAATTCAGGAATTGGATTGTTAGGATGATGTTCCAGAAGATGATGACATGATTGTCATTGAATAAATGAGTAAATTCTTGATATTGTAGGATTCACAGTTTGTCTGGTTTGTGTTGACAACTACTGTACTACCGTACTGTATACAGGTAATAAATTTCCTTTATTTTCATTTAACAATCAATGTGTACCGTATTCTTCTTCATGGAAAAATAAGACCTCCCCTGAAAATAAGACGTAGCACATCTTTGGGAGCAAAAATTAATATAAGACACTGTCTTATTTTCAGGAAAACAAGGTAGAAACATTGATGAGAGAGAATCATCGATCAGCTGCCTCTTGCACACCCCCTATTGGGGATGTACCCACAACCAAGGAACATACCTTTGACCAGAATCGAACCCAAGACCTTTCAGTCCGCAGGCCAAGGCTCTATCCACTGAGCCAATCCGGTTTCGGCTCAAGTGAAATTTTAAAAATATATATATATTTTATTGATTTTTTACAGAGAGGAAGGGAGAGAGATAGAGAGCTAGAAATGTCGATGAAAGAGAAACATCGACCAGCTGCCTATTGCACACCCCCTACCGGGGATGTGCCCGCAACCAAGGTACATGCCCTTGACTGGAATCCTACCCAGGACCTTTCATTCCGCAGACTGATGCTCTACCACTGAGCCAAACCGGTTTCGGCTCAAGTGAAATTTTAAATAGTCCAAACTAAATGAAAATAAAACTTACCAAAATTTGGGGAATGAAGTGAAAGCAGTGTTTAGAGGGAAATTTATAGCATCAAATGCTTGTATTAGAAAAAAAAAATCTAAAATAAGTAATCTTAATTTCCATCTTAGGGAACTAGAGAAAGAAAAGCATTATAAACCTAAAGGAAGAAGAAGAAAAGTAATAAAAATCAGAGCACAAATCAATAAATTGAACACAAAAATGCTGGAAGCCAATTCCAGCATGTCAGTAGGGCTGAATCATCTGAGATGGCTAAAAACCATCTCCTCCAAACCTGAACAGGATAATTGTCTGCTGCCAGACAGCTCAGGGCATTTTATTGCCTCCTGTTGGCCAAATACCTGATGAACAGCTTGTAGGCTATTCCCCAAACTGACAATGTTTCTGAACCCTACCTTTGAAGTGTATGTCTCCACCTTTCCTTAGGACAAATTGTGTTAATAAAAAGCAAGGGTCCTAGACAAGGAGGTAGTCTAGCTCCTTCAGCTGAAGCTCCTCTGACCACCAATGCCTTTCAAAATCATCTTTTATCTTTGGACTCCTTCTTAATCTATGCATCAGCCTCTTTTTCCAGATTGCTGAACCCTTTATAAGGCTGGGACAAGATCCTCCGGCACAAAAACAATGGAGAAAATCAATAAGAAAAGCTGGTTCTTTGTGAAGTTCAATAAAATTGATAAACTTCCTAGTTGAGCTAAAAAAAAAAAAAAAAAAGAGAGAGAGAGAAAGGACACAATATACTAATATCACAGATGAAAGTGAGGACATCATTATTAATTGCATTGGCATTAAAGGATAAAAAATAATACTATGAACAGTTCTATGCTCATAAATTTGACAACTTAGATGAAATGGACCAATTGAAAGACAACCTATCAAAAATCACATAGGGAGAAATAGATGTGAATAGTAATATATCTATTTAAAAAAATTGAGAATAACCTTTCAAAACAAAAAGCACCAGGCCCAGATTAGTTCAGTGGTGAATTATAACATTTAAGGAACAAGTTATGCCAATTCTCTACAATCTCTTCCAGAAAATAGAAGCAGAGGGAATATTTCAAAACTCATTTCATGAGGCCACTATTACCCCAATACCACAATCAGGTAAACACATCACAGATAAAGCTACAGACATTTTGAATTCAACAATGTGTAAAAATAACGATGTACTGTGACCAAATGGGACTTCTTCCAGTTATGCATATATGGTTCAACATTTAAAAATCAACTAATGCGCCGAAACCGGTTTGACTCAGTGGTAGAGCATCTGAAAGGTCCCAGGTTCGATTCCGGTCAAGGGCATGTACCTTGGTTGTGGGAAGATCCCTGGTAGGGAGTGTGCAAGAGGCAGCTGGTCGATGTTTCTCTCTCATTGACGTTTCTAGCTCTCTATTTTTCTCCCTTCCTCTCTGTAAAATATCAATAAAATATTTTTTTTTTAAAAGAAAAGGAAACACAAGTTGAATTTTTTTAAAAAAATAAATAAAAAAATAAAAATCAACTAATGTAATCTATCACTTCAACAGGTTAAGGAAGAAAAAGTATATAATCATAACAATAAATGGGATAAAAAGCATTTGACAAAATCCACCAACCATTCATGATAAAAACTCTCATCAAACTATCAATAGAGAAGAACTTCTTCAATTTGATAAAGAAGCATCTACAAAGAATGTACCAAGAACATAATGATGAGAAACTATAGCCTTTCCTCCTAATAACAGGAACAAAGCATAATGTCTCCTCTTACTACCCCTATTCAACATATTAGAAGTACATATTTTATCTTATAGCTATAAGCTCCTTGACCTGTGCCTAGGAGGTTCAACAGATTTAAGAAAGGCTGTCTAAACCCCATGATAACTTGCCAACTTAACAGTAACAGATTTTACTTCTCAAGTGGAATTTGTGATGTGCAGTTTTATATATATATATATATATATATATATATATATATATATAGTGGCACAACTGTGACATCGGTAGAAGACATCCTATATAATAAAAAGCTAATATGCAAATTGATTAAACAGTGGAATGACTGTTCGCTATGATGCACACTGACCACCAGGATGCAGAAGCTCAATGTAAGAGCTGCCCCCTGGTGGTTAGTGTGCTTCCACAGGGGGAGCACCATTCAGCCAGAAGCCAGTCTCACAGCTGGTAAGTACAGTGGTGGTGATAGGAGTTCTCCTGTCTCTGTAGTGGTGCTGAGGATATCCAACTGACAGCTTAGGCCCGCTCCCTAAGCTGGCAGTCAGACATCCCCCAACGGCTCCTGGATTTCGAGAGGGTGCATGCTGGGCTTAAGGGATATCCCTCCCCCTGAGTGCATGAATTTCGTGCACTGGGCCTCTGGTTTTACGATATTGCCAGGATGTGCCACCATCCTGAAGGTTTAGCTTTTAATGTAAATTGTGAGACTATAATCCTGGAGTGTGACTAGCAATTTCTGAGTTGGTAACTAGGTCTCATTTTCACTTTTTTTTTTTTTTTTTTTTTGTGGTATAAAATAATCTTCTTGGAAGTTATACATAAGATATTCCATGAAATTTTGCTAGGATTTTAAAACCTCTTTTGCTTTAAGTCTCTGATACTTATTTTACTGAATTATATAGATGAATTTTATATTTGAAATTTTAAAAATTAAATACCCATCCTTCAGTTTTTCATCTGAAAGATAAACTTTTCTCTTCAGAAGTGTATGTATGCTTGGCCTCTGTCCCAAAGTAGCCATCTGCCTTGTAAGTACATAGGAATTCTGTAAAAAAAAAAAAAAGAATTAAATTATTTTTATCTTTTCATAACCAAATTTACTTGGAAATTACATCATGTTATATTGAATCAATTATTTTAGTTAAGACACTTTATAAATTTACCAATATGTGAATATACTATGCACAATCAGAATACTGAATGAGATTAACTGGATATGAGAAACCAAGATGGCAGCACAGGTAAACGCCTAACTGCAGCCTCACACAACAATTTCAAAAAAAATACAACTAAAATACAAAATGGACATTATCCAGATCTATAGGAAAGTTGACTGACTGAAAATTCTACAACTAGAAGGAAAGAGAAAACCAGAAGGAAAATCAGAGGAGCTGTAAAAGCCTAAGGTACAGAGACACGTGTGTGCATGGGGAGAGGACGGAGTCAGAGAGGTGGGGGTGGCTGAGTGGGTTGCTGGCGTTCCCTAGTGGGAAGGAGATAAAAGCTCCGGACTGGGCTGAACCCCAGTTCCGACTGCACTGAACTCTAGTTCTGGGCCAAGACCCTGGGAACCCAGGCTCATACAGAGGGATCCTAGGCTGTAAGGTGGAAGCTCAGGGGAGCAGTGAAAGGCAGAGCCCTAGAGTTGCGCACATTGTCGCAGAGGATGGATTGTTGGCTGTGCCACTGGATTGCCCTAGCGGGAAGGAGACAAAAGTTCTGGACTGTGCTGAGCCTTAGTTCCAACTGCACTGAACCCCAGTTCTAGACCAGACCCTGGGGATCCAGGAGCATAAGGAGGGAATCTGGGCTGTAAGGTGGAAACTCAGGGGAGCAGCGAAAGGCAGAGCCCCAGAGTTGCGCACGTTGCGTGGGAAGGAGACAAAAGCTCTGGACTGCACTGAATCCCACTCTAACCCCACTTCCGACTGCACTGAACCCCAGCTCATTGGGGGAGAGACTAGACTGTCTGGTAGTGGGAGAAACTCGAGGGCACCTTTATCTCAGAGGTGCTTGCAGTGAGAACCAAAGCAGCAAGTACCAAAGGACACTGAGGAACACTGAGACCCAGGAACCTCATAGGCTGGGGCTGACAGGAAGCCATGGCTTAGGCTCCACCCTGAAACTCCGCCCCATCCTAGCTGAACTCAGAGGCTTTTGCAAATTTCCAAGTCTAGTCAAATAAGGCTGTCTCCCGACATAGACACAGCTGATCCTCACAACCAATTGGCCTGGAGGTCACTTCCTCCCAGTGATACCAACAACAATCAAGACTTAACTACAATAAGGCTGTACACACACTCCACAAAGGGGTGCACCAAGAGTGTCCACCTCAGGTAACTGGGAGGCTGACCCACTGAACCATATAGGATACCTTAGCACACAAAGCCACCCTACCAACTCAAGGAAGCTGAGAAAATGCCGAGACAAGGAAACAGATCACAAATGAAAGAAATAGAGAACAACAAAGTGACTGCATATAGAGTTCAAAATCACGGTTATAAGGTTGTTCAAGAATTTCCTAGAAAAGGCCAATAAAATAAACAAGACCTATGAGGATATGATAAGGGATCAACTAGAAATAAAAAGGGATTAACTAGAAATAAAGAATACATTGTCTGCCGGGACTGGTTTGGCTCAATGGACTGAAAGGTCCCGGGTTCGATTCCGGTCAAGGGCATGTACCTTGGTTGTGGGCACATCCCCAGTAGGGGATGTGCAAGAGGCAGCTGATCAATGATTCTCTCTATTGATGTTTCTAACTCTCTGTCCCTCTCTTTTCCTCTCTGTGAAAAATCAATAAAATATATTTTTAAAAAATACATTGTCTGAAATATAAAATATTATACAGAGTCCTAAAAACAAAATGGAAGATCACAAGAATCAAGTCAAAGATTTGGAACATAAAGAGCCAGAAGACACTCCTCTGCAGAAGCAAGAAGATAAGAGAATTCAGAAAGTTGAAGATAATGTAAGAAACCTCTGGGACAACTTCAAAGGAACCAACATCAGAATTATGAGGGTCCCAGAAGAAGAGAGAGAGCAAGATACCGAAAACATATTGGAAGAAATAGTGACACAAAACTTCCCCCACCTGGTGAAAGAATTAGACTTACAAGTCCAGGAAGCACACAGAACCCCAAACAAAAGTAATCCAAAGAGGACCACACCTAGACACATCGTAATTAAAATTCCAAGAGCAAAAGACAAAGAGAGAATATTAAAAGCAACAAGAGAAAAGTGGGTAGTTGCCTATAAAGGAGCACCCATATGATTGTCAGCTGATTTCTCAACAGAAACCATGCAGGCCAAATGGGAATGGCAAGGAGTATTCAAGATGATGAATAGCAAGAACCTATAGCCAAAAATACTCTACCCAGCAAAGCTATCACTCAGAATTGAAGGCTAGATAAAGAACTTCACAAATAAAAAAAAGCTAAAGAAGCTCATCACTGCCAAAGCAGAATCATATGAATTGCTGAAGGGGGTTCTTTAGGAAGAAGATAAAGATAAAAATTATGAACAACAAACACGTAACTATCAACAAGTTAATCTAAAAACCAAGAGAATTAAAAAATCTGAAGAACAACATTAACTGGTGAATATAATAGAATCAGAGGTATGGAAGGGGAGTGAACTGATAATTCTCAGGGAAAAGGGGAGTGGGAGGTGCAGGAAGAGACTGAACATAAACTGTGCACCTATAGATGAGGTCAATGGGGGGTGTGGAAAGGGCAGAGGGTGGGGTAGGAACCTGGTGGAGGGGAGCAATGAAGGGAAAAAAATAGGAAAATTTGTAATAATATGAACAATAAAGATTTATTTAAAATTTGAAAAAAAAGGGGGGGGAGTAGAATACTGAATGAACTGAGACTATCAGGACCCCTAAATAAATACCCTTAATTTTACTACCAACAGAATACATAATGGAGTTTCTAAAACATATCTGTTAAAATTATTTCTACCTGAGTTACCTTCAAAGCAACATATTCTTTCAAGGCAGATTTCAAATGATATCTGGAGAGTTTTTTGTTTGTTTTTTTTTTTAATATATTTTATTGATTTTTCACAGAGAGGAAGAGAGAGGGATAGTTAGAAACATCGATGAGAGAGAATCATCGATCAGCTGCCTCCTATACACCCCGTACTGGGGATGTGCCCACAACCAAGGTATGTACCTTGACCGGAATCGAAACCCAGGACCCTTCAGTCTGCAGGCCCACGCTCTATCTACTGAATCAAACTGGTTTTGGCTATCTGGAGAGTTTAAGGAAAATTCTCTTAGTAACAGACAAATATGACATGCTATCTCTTTTTCTCAAGAGATTTAAGGAGAAGTTGAATTGACTAGAATTATTTCTAATAAGGTATTTTTAGAATATAGGGAATAGTTTTATTATAGGGAATCCCTAGAATTAAAAAATCAGATCATGAGGGTCAGTCTAGAATTCCATAGATCCTTTCTGCCCTAATCCTCTGATAATGGTCCTGTTTAATTTTCTAGAAATACTAGAGGCCTGGTGCATGAAATTCATGCATTGGGGGCAGGGGGGATGTCCTCAGCACCCCCTGCATCCTCTACAATCCAGGATCCCTCTCGCAATCCGGAACCACTGGCTCCTCACTGCTCACCTGCCTGCCTGCCTAATGCCCCTAACTGCTCCCCTGCCAACCTGATCCCCCTAACTGCCTATCTGCTCCCCCTTCCTTGCCTGATCCCCCTAACTGCCTAACTGCCACCTCCTACCAGCCTGATCCCCCTAACTGCCTATCGGCTCTCCCCTCCTGGCCTGATCCTCCTAACTGCCTATCTGCTCTCCCTTCCTCGTCATGCCCTTTGAACCCCCCCCCCCCCAGCACAGGCATGCTGAGAGCTCTCTGCTGCGGCCCTGCCCCCTTCCTGATTGGTCATTATGTGACAGTGTTCCAGGCAATTTGCATATTCCTCTATTATTAGTATAGATATCAACCACCTACAAAGGAGCCTTTGAGTTTGTCATGATGAGTGTCAGAGAGAAATGGAGAGGGAGAGAGAGAAAAAAAAAAATCAATGATGTGAGACAATCATAGATCGGCTGCCTCTTGCATGCTCCCTATTGGGGATCGAGCCCAAAACCCAGGCATATGCCCTGAGTGGGAATCAAACTGACCTGATCTCATGGTCCATGGGTCAATGCTCAACCACTGAGCCACGCCAGCTAGGCAGGACTATTTCTCTTTTGATTAGCTGCTAGGAAGTGTGATTGCTACAAGAGGTCAAAATTATAAACACTTAAAAAATTGTTGATACATATTACCAAAATGATTTCTAAAAGAACTATGACAACTTTATTATTGGTGATGTATAACAGAATAAATTTCACTGTACTAGTGTCAACTTTTGCATTATTATTTTTAAATTATTTTTCTAGTTGTAGCATAAATATATGCCTTTGTGTCTTTGCTTATGAAATTGCTCATATTCTTACTTCTCTCCTCACATTTTAGGTTTCAAGTCAGGTATGTGCCTCTAAGATGCCTGTCATTTTCAAATCAGGATGTTTTCACATGAGTAGTTTGAGAAATTGTTTTAATGCTACAATTTTGATAAATCATCCACAAAATAATTTTGTAAATGTAAATTGTTTGTTTGGGTTTTCATTAGCCAATATGCAATGTGCTTAAGAGACACCCACGTCTTAACTATCATGACTCTTCATTCTCATTCCTAAACATCTTTGGCTGACCTGTAAATAATCACCAATTTTTAATGCATTTTGAACCTCATCCCACCTATAACTCAATAAGAGACTGAACAGATTTTTGAAAGATGACTTCAAGATAGATGCCCAATGAATACCTATAAAGCACTTTAAAGATCAGCTTCTTTTTGCCAAAGCCGGTTTGGCTCAGTGGTAGAGCATCGGTCTGCGGACTGAAAGTTCCCAGGTTCGATTCTGGTCAAGGGCATGTGTAAGAGACAGGGAGTGTGCAAGAGGCAGCTGGTCGATGTTTCTCTCTCATTGACATTTCTAGCTCTCTATCTCTCTCCCTTTCTCTCTGTTAAAAATCAATAAAATATATTTAAAATTAAAAAAAGATCAGCTTCTTCATGAATAATGAGATGCATAGAAAATGCAAAAAAAAAAAAAAAAAAAAAAAAAAAGCCAAAAATACCGGTTTGGCTCAAAGGATAGAGCGTCGGCTTGGGGACTGAAGGGTCCCGGGTTCGATTCCAGTCAAGGGCATGTACGTTGGTTGCGGGCATATCCCCAGTAGGGGGTGTGCAAGAGGCAGCTGATCGATGACTCTCTCTCATCGATGTTTCTAACTCTCTATCTCTCTCCCTTCCTATCTGTACAAAATCAATAAAATATATTAAAAAAATAAAAACAAATAAATAAAAACTGTTATACCATGACTCTCTTTAAATACAGGGGGGAAAAAAGAAAATGGAAAAAAATGCTCAGAAAAGAATTTTAAAGGAAAATTTATAATTGTAGAGATAGAGCACAAACTCAACCTAATGGATAATTAAAATGCATTTAGTTAGTTCTGGGCCACTTAAGATAAATTATTCACAGCCCTTAAAATAGAAATGTAGGGTATTATTTTATCTACGATAATGTTTCCACCTACTAGTGATGGTGCATCTGCTTTCAATTGCAATTCATCTGGGTCAGCATTTTCTGGATCGTATACCCATATCGTGATAACCTATAACACAAAATGTTTGCATTTCTTTAATTTTGGACAACTTTCATTCTTTAGTTATAGCAAAACATAACCATGAAAATGTTGATATATTTTTTAAACTTTGATTATCTCATTTTTTTTTTTAAATCAAAGCATTATGTATTGTTTTTAAATAAGGGAAACTACTCAAAGACATACGAAGGAAGAGTTAATGGTATTCCTCTAAACACCTGAGGTAAAACTTCATAGGAATGCTTATCTATCTTTCTCTGCATTCACAGATAGACCCAGCGTTCCCCCTCCCCCCAACCTTCCCCTCCCAAACCACCACCACCACACACACACACACACACATTTTACAGAGATGAAGCCACACCGCACAGGTTATTTGTAGCTTGCTTTTGCCACTTGGTGCACCATGGCCATCTCATTAGCTGTAGGTCTAATTCTTTTCTTTCTTGTTTATAAATTCTAGCATCACGTGGGGAGAATGGTTTCAGCTCCGCCCTCTCCCCACGGGTTGGAAGTTCCCTTTCCAGCTTCACACACCTTTGGAACCTCACCCCGGTCTGCCAGGGACTATACTGTATCTAACACCCTTAGCTAAGAACTTAATCTTATATCGTTGGCTTTTGGTTCTTTAGTTATTTCTGACCAATAGAAAACTCCTTTACTTGTTTTTAAGTTCTATACACACACATATACCTATATTAACACATTAAGCGCCCAGCCTGTTTCGTCTTCCGGACGGAAAGTATAGTATCAGTCACCGGCGGCTGACATGGGGCTTAATGTGTTAATATAAAAGGCGGTACTAGTATTTTATAAACATATATTCTCTTTTAAAAAAATGTTCTGTTTTGTTTTTCAGAAAGAGGGAGGAAGACGGAGAGAAACATTAATGATGAAGGAGAATCATTGATTGGCTATCTTCCACATGCCCCTTACTGGGGATCGAACCCTGATCTCCTGGTTCATGGGTTTATGGTCAGCCACTGAGCTACATAATATTTTCTAAAGGCATTTCTGTGTGTTTTGAGTGAGATGGAGGTTATTCTGCATTATTTTGGTGTGTAATATGTATTCTACCTCTAGAAGTTTCTCTACTTTCTATATTTAAATTATTTATTCCCAAATAATACTCTTTCTTGCTTTTTCATGCAAGAATTATAACTGTAATAAAACATTGCATGATGTCAATTGGATTTGGGACAGGAGTACAAACAGACGCATTCAACCATCTGGATGTGATATAGGAAGCTTATTCATTATTATTTTTTTTTCTGCATCTTTTTCTAGCAAATCACTGCTTTTATTTTATTTTTTTAAAAATATATTTTATTGATTTTGTACAGAGAGGAAGGGAGAGAGATAGAGAGTTAGAAACATCGATGAGAGAGAGTCATCGATCAGCTGCCTCTTGCACACTCCCTACCGGGGATATGCCCGCAACCAAGGTACATGCCCTTGACCGGAATCGAACCCGGGACCCTTTAGTCCCCAAGCCGACGCTCTATCCATTGAGCCAAACCGGTCTCGGCAAATCACTGCTTTTAGAAAATTAAAATATCTATAGTATTTTAACTTCCAAATATTATAACCTGATTTCAATTTAAACATTTTGAACATATCTATCACACTAATGATCCATATATTAAAAACCACTGAACTAAAGACATTTATTGTCTTGTGAAAGTTATTGAGCATTCCATAAAGCTTTTATCTTATGTGGGTTATGTTTCTCTATATGTATGATATAACGAATTAAAAATATTTATTAACTTGTTTTAAAATGAAGATAAACATATTTACGTGCTAACATAACCAACATGCTTTTATGAAAAAAAAATAACTATTTTCCAAACAAACAAAAACAGTAAGAAGAATGGTTGTTTTACATTATAAAATTTTTTAAATATCTTGCTTCATAGAATAGCTGGATTTTCCTCTATGTTTCTGCATCAAGTTACTGTATGTGTTGTTTTGATGAAAGCATATTGGGAGAATCTGTCCTCATGCAAATACGAGGTTGGAAAAGGGTAGACCTGAAGAGGCCTGAGCCCTAAGGATCCTCAGACCACACCTTAGTGCCATGCTTTACACACATTTCGTTGAGAAATTAGTTTGGAAAATTCCTCTTCTGGTAATTATGGACGATAAGAGAGATATAATATAGTAGTGATATATAAAGGATACATAAAATTAAAAAAAGTTTTACCTGGGTGAAATTGTTATAGTATTGACTGTTGGGAAAAAGAGGAATCATATGTTAATAAACAGTATGCTAAATATTAGTTTGAATACCTTACTTTCAATATACATGACTCTAAATCTTAGGATATTCCCTTTATATTCCAAAAGAGATAAATTATTACAGCTAAATGTAATAAAAGTCACATATGGCTGTGGCTGAGTAGCTCAGGTGGTTAAAGTGTCATCCTGATATGTCAAAGTTGTGGATTTGATTTCCGGTCAGGCCACATCTGGGAAACAATCCATAGACACAGACAAGTGTGGTGATGGCCAGAGGGAAGGGGGGTGGGTGAGAGCTGGGTGGAGGTGGGCAAAAGAGGGAAATGGGAACATTTTTAATAGTGTCAATAATATAAAGTAAAAAAAAAATATCAACCAGCCAAAACCGGTTTGGCTCAGCGGTAGAGCGTCGGTCTGTGGACTGAAAGGTCCCGGGTTCGATTCCGGTCAAGGGCATGTACCTGGGTTGCGGGCACATCCCCAGTAGGGGGTGTGCAAGAGGCAGCTGGTCGATGTTTCTCTCTCATCGACGTTTCTAGCTCTCTATCTCTCTCCCTTCCTCTCTGTGAAAAATCAATAAAATATATTTTTTAAAAATCAACCAATAAATGCATAAGTAGAGCAATAAATCAAAGCCCCCCCCTCTCTCTTTCTCTCCCTCCCTCCAAAAAAAGTTACATATGTCTAAAATTAAATATAATTATGATTCTCACAAAGGTTAAGTGAGGGGCCTGGATCTGCATGCTTCCTTAACAACAGTGCACATTCACATAGCCAAGATGCATGACTAATCTTCTTTTAAAATCTAACATCATCATTTCACATCTGCAGCAGCAGAAAAGCTCAACAGAGCCAAATGACGATTCTCTGAAAAGGCTAATAAGATAGCAATACCACGAAGAATAAGAACAAGAAAATAGAAGGGAGGCACAAATAAAAATGTTACAAAGGTAAGACTGGAATCACTGCACCAATCTCAGAGGATAAACAAAAATAAGAGGACATTATAGACAATTTTATGACATTAAAACTTATACTAAAATTGCTAACTGAGGACACAGTTAAATTTCCAGAAAAATACTACTGTTGAAAATGGATTTTACAAGAAGAAAAATTCCAAACTAGCACAGTAGCCATTAAATTAGGAAATTTCCACATCCTCTCCCCACAAAAAGAACCCAGATTCAAGTGAATTTCTATGCAAGTTTCCATCAAATACTCAAAGAATATGTATTTCTAATCTTATACAAAATGTTTTAGAGGAAAGAAAAAATGACTAATAACTTAAGTGATGAGTCCAGCACAGTCTTGCTATCAAAAGTAGAAAAGGATGGTATGAGGGGAGAAAAATCACAGGCCAACCTTACTCCTGAATACACACACACACACACACACACACACACACACACACACACACTACTAAACAAAATATTAGCGCTGTAACCAGTTTGGCTCAGTGGATAGAGCATCAGCCTGCGGACTCAAAGGTCCCGGGTTTGATTCTGGTCAAGGGCATGTACCTTGGTTGTGGGCACATCCCCAGTAAGGGGTGTGCAAGAAGCAGCTTATCGATAACTCTCTCATCAATGTTTCTAACTCTCTATCCCTCTCTTTTCCTCTCTGTAAAAACTCAATAAAATATATTTTAATATATATATATTAGCAAACATGGGAATATAGAATCTTCTATTACCATATTGATGTTTTCTACAATAAACCCTCTGTCTTTAAATATATTTAAAAAATATTAGCAAACAAAATCTGTCAATATATATGAAAGAGAATTCATCAACACCAAGTTGGATTATTCCAGAAATATAGGGTCAGTTTAAAATACAAATATTAATTAATGTTATTCCCCCAATTAACATAGTTAAGGAGAAAAGCCGTATTAACTTTTAAGTGGAAACAAAAAAAAACTTTAAATAAATTTTAACACCAATTCATATGAAAAATTCACCACTATCTGGGGTAAAAGGAAATTTCCTTAACTGGGTAAAAGTTAACACTATTTATTGAAGAGACTGTCTTAACTCCATTGATGTTTATGCTCCTTTGTCAAATATTAATTGAGTATAGAGGTTTGGGTCAATATCTGGATTCTCTATTCTATTCCATTGATCTATATGTATGTTCTTGTGCAAGTACCAGGCTGTTTTGAGATCAGTGACTTTGTAATACAGCTTGAAATCTGGTATGGAGATCTATCCTACTTTGTTGTTCTTTCTCAGTATTGCTGTGGCTATTCGGGGTCTTTCTTGTCCCAGATGAATTTTTTGAGAGTTCTTTCTAGGTCAATGAAATATGTCATTGATATTTTAATGGGAAGTGCATTGAACCTATAAATTGCTTTGGGTAGTATGGACATTTTAATGATGTTGATTCTACCAATCCACGAACATGGTATGTTCTTCCATCTGTTTACATCTTCCTCTATCTCTTTTTTCAATGTTGTGTAGTTTTCTGCATATAAGTCTTTTATCTCCTTAGTTAAATTTATTCCTTTTGGTGTGATGGTAAATGGAATTGATTTTTTAGTCTCTGTTTCTGTAAATTCACTATTAATGTATAGAAAGGCCATAGATTTCTTGGCGTTAATTTTGTATAGGGTTTTTTATGTACAATATCATGTCATCTTCAAATAAGAACAACTTTGCTTCTTCTTTTCCAAATAGGTTGCCTTTTATTTCTTCTTCTTGTCTAATTGCAATGGCTAGTACTTCCAGTACTATGTCAAATAGCAGTGGTGAGAGTGGTCATCCCTGTCTTGTTCCTATTCTTAGGGGAAATGGTTTTAGTTTTTGCCCATTGAGTATGATGTTAGCTGTGGGTTTATCATATATAGCTTTTATTATGTTGAGATATGATCCTTCTCTTCCCACCTTGTCGAGAGTTTTGATCAGGAAAGGGTGTTGGATTTTGTCAAATGCTTTTTTTTTTACATCAATTGATATAACTATGTGATTTTTATCTCTCAATTTGTTTATGTGATATATCATGTTTATTGATTTGCGGATATTGTACCATCCTTGCATTCCTGGGATAAATCTTACTTGGTCATGGGCAAGTATGATCTTACTGATGTACTGCTGAAGTTGATATGCTAGAATTTTGTTGAGGATTTTGACATCTATGTTCATGAGGGATATTGGCTTGTAATTCTCTTTCATTGAGTTGTCTTTATCTGGTTTTGGTATTAGGGTGATGCTGGCTTCATAGAATGAGCTTGGAAGTGTTCCTTCCTCTTGAATTTTTTGGAATAGTCTGAGGAGGATAGGTTTTAGTTCTTCTTTGAATGTTTGGTAAAACTCTCCTGTGAAGCCATCTGGCCCTGGGTTTTTGTTTGCCGAAAGCTTTTTGATGATTGCTTCAATTTCTTCCATAGTTATTGGCCTGTGGAGCTGTTTAGATTCTTCCTGATTGAGTTTTGGAAGAGTATATATTTTAAATATATTTTATTTATTTTTACAGAGAGGAAGTGAGAGGGATAGAGAGTTAGAAACACTGATGAGAGAGAATCATCAATCAGCTGCCTCTTGCGCACCCCCTACTGGGGATGTGCCTGCAACTAAAAATAGAACCTGGGACCTTTCAGTCTGCAGGCCGACACTCTATCCACTGAGCCAAACCAGTTTCAGTGGAAGGTTATATTTTTTCTAGGAATATGTCATTTCCTCCAGGTTGTCCAGTTTGTTGAAATAGAGTTTTTCATAGTATTTTATAACAATCCTTTGTATTTCTGTGGGGTCTATTGTTATTTCTCCTCTTTCATCCTCAGTCTGTGTGTGTCTATTTTCCTGAAGTGGGTTTCCTGTAGACAGCAGATATATGGGTTATGTTTTTTTATCCAATCTGTTACCCTATGTCTTCTGATTGGGATATTTAATCCATTTACATTTAAAGTTATTATTTTTAAAATATATTTTATTGATTTTTTAAAGAGAGGAAGGAAGAGGGATAGAAAGTTAGAAACATCAATCAGTTGCCTCCTGTACACCCCCCACTGGGGATGTGCCCGCAAGCAAGGTACATGCCCTTGATCAGAATCGAACCCATGACCCTCAATCTGCAGACTGACATTCTATCCACTGAGTCAAACCAGTTTTGGCTAAATTTATTATTGATAGGTGCTTGTTTGTCTCCATTTTTATTCTTTACTCTGGTGTTCCTTCTTCGCTTTCTATCTCTTTATTTCACGGCAAATCCTTTAGCATTTCTTACAATGCTGGTTTGGTAGTAATAAACTCCCTTTGCCCTTTCTTGTCTGTGAAGCTCCTAATTTCACCTTCAATTTTGATTGATAGCCTTGCTGGGTATAGTATTCTTGGATTCAGACTTTTTCTTTGCATGACTTTGTATATTTCATTCCATTCCCTTCTGGCCTGATGTATTTCTGTTGAGAAATCAGTTGCTATTCTGATAGGGGATCCTTTGTAGGTAACTTTCTGTCTCTCTCTAGCTGCTTTTAAGATTCTTACTTTGTCATTGGTTTTTGCCAGCTTAATTATAATGTGCCTTGGCGTTGGTCTTTTGGGGTTCATTTTGGTTGGGACTCTGTGAGCTTCTTGAATTTGTGTGGGTTTTTTCGTCCTTGTATCAGGGAAATTCTCTGTCATTATTTCTTTAAACATGTCGTCTATTCCTTGCTGAGTTTCCTCTCCTTCTGGCACCCCTATTAAGTAGATGTTGTTTTGTTTCATGTTGTCCCAAAGTTCCCTTAGGCTCTCCTCCTGCTTTTTTTTTTTTTTTTAAATAAATATTTATTGACATTACTGGAAGTACTAGCCATTGCAATTAGACAAGAAGAAGAAATAAAAGGCATCCTATTTGGAAAAGAAGAAATAAAGCTGTCCTTATTTGCAGGTGATATGATAATGTACATAAAAAACCCGAAAGACTGCATCAAAAAACTATTAGACTTAATAAATGAATTCAGCAATGTAGCAGGATACAAAATTAATGCCAAGAAATCTATGGTATTTCTATACACAAATAGTGAACTTACAGAAAGAGAGGCCAAAAAAAGCAATTCCATTTACCACTGCACCAAAAAAATTAAGATACCTAGGAATAAACTTAACTAAGAAGGTAAAAGACCCAGGGAGGGTAGGGAGATCTGGGGGAGATAATAGATCAACCAAAGGACTCGTATACATGCATATAAGTACAACCAATGGACACAAAACTCTGGGGAGGGAGGGTATGTATAAGGGGAGAGGGAATGTTAAAATATGTACACAGATAATAATTTAATTTAAAAAAAGGTAAAAGGGGGGGCAATGTCAAAATATGTACACAGATAATAATTTAATAAAAAATAAAATAAAAGATAATGCTATAAACTACAAAAAAAGGTAAAAACAAAAAAGAAGGTAAAAGACATATATGTGGAAAACTATAGGACACTGAAAAAAGAGATAGAGGAAGATGTAAACAGATGGAAGAACATACCATGTTCATGTTCACGGATTCAACATCATTAAAATGTCTATACTACACAAAGCAATCTATAGATTCAATGCACTCCCCATTAAATTACCAATAGCAATTTCACAGACCTAGAAAGAACTCTCCAAAAATTCATCTGGAATAAAAATTAAAAAAAAAAAGACCCCAAGTAGCCACAGCAATCCTGATAAAGAAGAACAAAGTACGTGGGATCTCAATACCCGATTTCAAGCTATATTACAAAGCCACTCTTCTCAAAACAGCCTGGTACTGGCACAAGAACATACATATAGACCAATGGAATAGAATAAAGAACCCAATATCGACCCTAACCACTATGCTCAATATTTAATAAAGGAGGCATGAGCATATAATGGAGTCTAGACAGTCTCTTCAGTAAATGGTGCTGGGAAAATTGGACAGATACATGTAAAACAATGAAACTAGGTCACCAACTTACACCATACACAAAAATAAACTCAAAATGGATAAAAGATTTAAACATAAATGGGAAACAATAACAATACTGAAGGAATCCACAGGCAGAGAAATCTCAGACATGTGCCGAAGCAAATTCTTCATGGATACCACTCCTAGGGCAATGGAAACTAAGGAGAAAGTAAACAAATGGGACTACATCAAAATAAAAAGCTTTTGCACCGCAACAGAAACCATCAACAAAAAACCATCACTATATGGGAGAACATATTTGCAAATGTTATCACATTAAAGGTTTAATCTCCAACATCTACAGACAGCTTATACAACTTAATAAAAGAAAGTTAAATGATCCAATAATAAAATGGGCAACAGACCTAAATAGAATCTTTTTGAAAGAAAACTGAGGAAGGTCAAGGGACATATGAAAATATGCTCAAGGTCACTAATTATCGGAGAGATGCAAATCAAAACGACAATGTGGTACCATGTCACACCTGTCAGAATGGCTATCATCAACAAATCAACAAATGACAAGTGCGAAGAAAAAGAAACCCTGCACTGCTGGTGGGATTGCAGACTGGTGCAGCCTCCTGGGAGAATGGTATGGAATTTCCTCAAAAAACTGAAAATGGAACTCCCATTTGACCCAGTAATCCCACTCGTAGGAATATATTCCAAGAAACTGGAAACACCAATCAGAAAGGATATATGCATCCCTATGTTCATAGCAGCACAATTTACAATAGCTAAGATTTGGAAACAGCCTAAATGCCCAGCAGCAGGTGAGTATATTAGAAAACTATGGTACATCTACAGTACAATGCTATAAAAAAAGAAGGAACTCTTACCATTTGCAGTAGCATGGATGGAACTGGAGAGTATTATATTAAATAAGCCAGGCAATGAAAGAAAACCACCACATGATCTCACTCATTTATGGAAAATAAAGAACATTATAACCTGATGAACAAAAAGATAGATACAGAGGCAGTAAAGCTCCGAACAGACTGTCAAATTACAGCGGGAAGGCTAGGGAGTGTTGGGGAAAGGGGGAAAGAGATCAACCAAAGGACTTGTATGCATTCATATAATGACACAAGACACTGGGCACATGGGATGCGGGCATGCGGCAGGGAGGTTAAAGGGGAAAAATAACGGAGATATATGTACTACTATATGTAATACTTTAAACAATAAAAATAATAAAAATAAAGTAAAAAAAAAAGAAGCAGTGTATGTTCAAATAGTGGTTGTGATTGTTATTTTCACTGTTAGTTTTTCAATATAAGTTTGGCAGCATATTTGAGAATATATTTTTAAAACACATATATTTTTATTGATTTCAGAGAAGAGGGGAGAGGAAGAGAGAGAAACATCAATGATGAGAGAGAATCATTGATCGGCTTCCTCCTGCACACCCTTCTGGGGATCGAACCTGTGCCCTTGACCAGAATTGAACCCGGAACACTTCAGTCCACAGGCCAAGGCTCAACCCACAATGCCAAACTAGCTAGGGCTATTTGAGAATATCTCGATTAGTGAAAGAAAGCTTATATGGAAACTGTAATGTAGATAACCCATTTGTTAATTAAGAAGTATTAATAACCTTTGTATTAAATACTGCATTACTTACGCAATTTTACGATACCACAGAAAGCAAATGTTAGTACTGTCCACAAATAAATAGCGTTCGTCTTCTAAATCCTAAAAGAAATTGCAAAAGCAACTATGATCTATGAATTTCACTTAAAAAAATACTAATTCAATACAGCCATCAAAGTCACATAGGAACTAAGTTAATTATCTAAGATGAGAGGAAGTATAATGAATAAATTTCAGAATAGAACTAATAAATATTCATGTAATACTAGTCCAGTTCTTTAGTTACTGTCTGTAATTGAGGACTTACTATCATGGGTGGAGACAAACTTAGATGGCTTGTTCTTTCTGTTATATTTGACCTAATGGAATAATATATACTAATAAAAGCTTAGGTGGCCCTCATGTGCGATATTGTCACAAGATGGCCACCACAAGATGGCCACACACAGAGAGGTGGGGCCTGGCGGCCATTCCGTGTGATTTGGCCTGAGGGTCCCACAGCTCTGCATGGCGTGGAGGTGGCCGGTCTCGGCAGAGGAGGTGGGTAGTGGCAGGGAAAGGCAGTTGTGGGCAATCGGGTCAACAGGGAAGGGCAGTTATGGGCAATCAGGCTGGCAGGGGAGCAGTTAGGCATTGATCAGGCTGGCAGGGGAGCGGTTAGGGGCAATCAGGCTGGCAGGCAGAATCGGTTAGGAGGCAATCAGGCAGGCAGACAGACGAACAGTTAGGAGCTAGCAGTCCCAGATTGTGAGAGGTTTGTCCCAGATTGGAGAGGGTGCAGGCTGGGTTGAGGGATACCAGCTCCCCATGGACGAATTTCGTGCATGGGCCTCTAGTAAGAAATATATGTCTTTCCCCCCAGTTCCTGAGTCTTTACCATGATGCCTGACACAGAGCTAACTAAGCTCTTGTAATGTCCCGAGCGGTGGGAGTGAGTGTCTCAGGCAGAGCTCCTACAGTTTTCCCCACGGAAACACACACAATTCAACAAATTTCCTTGTTTAATGGTTATCAACCAGAGGTGATTTTGCTCACCAGGGGACATTTGGCAATGCCTGGACATACTTTTGTTTCTTTTTTGAGTTAGTTTCAAAAGTCACATGTCCCTCCTTATAGGTTGTAAGATCTGATAACACTATACGTAAATGACAAAGGTAGTCCTATGTATGCATATACTTGTGTATGCTTATATTTTTTTAAAGTATGTTTTATTGATTTTCCACAGAGAGGAAGGAAGAGGGATGGAGAGCTAGAAACGTTGATGAGAGAGAAACATCAACCAGCTGCCTCCCGCACACCCCCCACAGAAGATGTGCCCACAACCAATGTACATGCCCTTGACCAGAATCGAACCCGGGACCCCTCAGTCCGCAGACCGACGTTCTATCCACTGAGCCAAACCAGTTTCGGCTGTATGCTTATTTTTTTACATAACATGTTTCATAATGTTTCTAGGGGTTTCCAACATACACACACACACAAAAAGGGGCGGGGTGGGACAAGGGGAAGAAGGAACCTGGCTGGCATAGCTCAGTGGGTGAGAACTGACCTATGAACCAGGATGTCATGGTTCTAGTCCCGGTCAGGACACATGCCCAGGTTGGGGGCTTTTTACCCAGTGGGAGGCATGCAGGAAGGAGCTGATCACTAATTTTCTCTCATCACTGATGTTTCTCTCTCTCTCTCTCCCCCTCTCCCTTCCTCTCTGAAATCAATAAAAATATATTAAAAAAAAAAAAAACCAATGAAAGAGAAAGGACTCCTTTACATTGGAGTTATGTTCATGAAACTTAAAAAACTCATAAACTCAAAAAGCCAAATTCAAATATTTTTCCATCTATAGGGTTTAAAATGAATTAATATCCATCTGGCCTCTCTCATATCACTCTACTTGTTTCATGAAAATGAAGACTGTTAATGAAAAAAAATAAAATAAAAAAGGCACAGCCGAAACTGGTTTGGCTCAGTGGATAGAGCGTCGGTCTGCAGACTGAAGGGTCCCAGATACGATTCCGGTCAAGGGCATGTATTGGTTTTGGGCACATCCCCAGTAGGGATTGTGCAAGAGGCAGCTGATCGATGATTATCTCTCATCGATGTTTCTAACTCTCTGTCCCTCTCTCTTCCTCTCTGTAAAAAAAATCAATAAAATATATTTAAAAAAATAAAATAATAATAAAATTAAATTTAAAAAAAGGCACAAGCCCCAGCAGAAAGGCAGGATTTATCACACGGAGTCCCTATAGCAGTTGGTTTATACACTTGTATGGGAACTTAAGCTGTGAGGTGTGGGCCAGTACTCTGTTACTAATTGACAAAGTGCCAGTGTTTTGGAATGCTTGCCCTGGCTGGTTTGGCTCAGTGAATAGAATGTTGGCCTGGGGACTGAAGGGTTCTGGGTTTGATTCCTGTCAAGGGCACATGCCTGGGTTGCGGGCTTGGAGTTGATTAATGATTCTCATCATTAATGTTTCAATCTCTCTCTCCCTCTTCCTTCCTCTATGAAATCAATAAAAAGTATTAAAATGCTTTACTTTTTTTTTTGGTAAACCTGAAAGAATTCAACATCATTCATTTATTTGCATTCACATATATATTTTTTTAAATAACAAAATCTTCTAGAAATGGCTCTTTATCCTGGGCATTGTCATAGAAGTATATGATGTGAGCCCTCTTAGCCGAGAGTACTGTTATCCTTACAATGGTAACTGGGGCTTTAACATGCTAATAAAATGGCTAAATTAAAATCACATATCACTTCACTAGTTATAATTTGCAAAAACATATCTAAAAATTAATGACATTTTCACAGTATTTTTAAAATGCCTCTTATAGTTACAATTTATACTAGTTAAAATAGGTTGAATTAGGTTGAAAGATTTAAAAAAAAAGGAAAAATGAACTGGATTATTCAAGTTTAATAATTAAGATCAACTCACTGGCCCTGTAACAATTGGTTTTATATTCTGAAAGCCTGGAGTAGAACAGCGCAGCTCTGTCTTCGGCGAACTAGCATTTAAAGAGAACAAGAAGGGAGAAATAAATAAAGATGCCTACGATATTAATATTAAAACGTTCCCTACTCTTCTTCAGGCCTACAAACTTAAAATAAGAAAAGTAAAAATATAGCAATATTTGCCTTCTTTTTTCAAGCTGATTTTGTTTTTCTTTTCACATCTATTTAATGGGAAGAAATTGACATTCAGTCACAGCCTCGAGTCTGAATTCATGCTACGTAAATGCTTTGTGACGTGCAAATACACATATATTGACGTTCACGACAAAAATACTACCGTTTATCTTTAATAGAACAAGTTTCTGGCACACTCCACTCAGAAAATAATGTTCCTTCATACTCTAATGTAATCTAAAAAAAAAAAAAGAAGATGAAATAGTTAAAACAAAGCTCCAAAATATTCATCTCACTGTTCAGATGTACGATTCAGTTCTCTGGGTCCTTACTAAAGAAACTAGAGGCCAGGTGCACGAAACTCGTGCATTGGGGGTCGGGGAGGGCCCTTCAGCTCCACCTGTGCCCTCAGTCTGGGAGCCCTCAGGGGATGTCCAACTGATGGCTTAGGCCCGATCCCCACAAGGAGCGGGCCTAAACCATCAGTTGGACATCCTCAGCACAGCCACAGAGTCCAGAAAGGCTCCTGCCACCGCTGCTGGGCTCGCCAGCCATGAGCCTTGCTTCCGGCTGAGGGGCGCTCCCCCCTGTGGGAGTGCACTGACCACCGGGGGGCAGTTCCTGCATTGAGCGTCTGTCCCGTGGTGGTCAGTGCATGTCATAGCAACCGGTCATTCTGCAGTTTGGTCAATTTGCATATTAGCCTTTTATTATATAGGATAATAATTCAAATGTGATGTGTTTGAAATTACACAAAGTAATACAACAAAGGAAAAGTAACAACTTTTCTGGGACACTTGAGTAGTCTCCCTACCAAGTAAGATTTTTATTTTATTTCAAAAGTAATATATTAAGTCTCTAGGAGGTACTCTAGAAGGTTCTGAGTATTAAAATAAGAATCCTATCTGCATCATGACATTATTTTTTGAATATTAATCACAAAACACTCAAACCAACACCACTTGTTTTTTGTGACTTGCATATTTAAGAACTATTACTGGAGAGGGAGATCTATATGAGGAAGAAAATGAAATATGAAAAAGAAATAAAAGAATGACACTTTGCTATACAACTGAATATGATTAACTCTGCCCTAAGGTAAAAAACAACAACACACAAACAAAAAAACTTGACTATAGTTTTAAAAAGTTAAACACTTACAGTAGTTCTGGTACTAAAAATGCGGTAGTTTGGGCTGGCAGCATGATATCTGTGGAGGAAAAGTTCAAATAAGAATATGAAAATTAGCCAAAGCCGGTTTGGCTCAATGGATAGAGTGTCGGCTTGGGGACTGAAGGGTCCCGGGTTCGATTCCCATCAAGGGCATGTACCTTGGTTGCGGGCATATCCCCAGTAGGGGGTGTGCAAGAGGCAGCTGATCGATGACTCTCTCTCATCAATGTTTCTAACTCTCTATCTCTCTCCCTTCCTATCTGTACAAAATCAATAAAATATATTAAAAATAAAAAAAAAGAATATGAAAATTAATTTCTCCTCCAAGGAAGAGGGATTCCATGCATGGTCAGAGCATGCCTGGGCTGCCAAGAGCTTTACATTTCTGCCCAGTTATCTTCCTGGAGAGCATAGTCAAGACTAAACCTAAGGATTATCCATGAACTCTACTCACCACTCAAGAGCTGTTAGGGTTAGTTCAGTATCTGAAGACAATAGAATGAGAAGTACAGGTGCCCCTTAACTTACAATGGCTTTGCATCACAATAAACCCATTGTAAATTAAAAATATAATTCAAAAATGCATTTAATACACCTAGCCTACCAAACATCATAGCTCAGCTTGGTCTGCCTTAAACATGCTCAGCACATTGACATTAGCTTATAATCGGACAAAATTATTTAACATGAAGCCTATTTTATAATTAAGTGTTGAAAAATCTCATGTAGTTAAAAAATCGTTAAGTGGAACCATCATACGTCAAGGATTGTCTATAAATACTTTTTAATACTAGTAGCCCAGTGCACAAAATTCATACATGTGTAGGGTTCCTAAAGACTGCCAGCTGCTGCCGGGGCCTCCCTTCATTCCGCACTGTGCCCTCGTGGTCAGTGCATGTCATAGCAAGTGATCAAACTCCCTGTTGGTGGAATTCGGGGACACTTTGCATATTAGGCTTTTATATATATATAGATATTTTTATTGATTTCAGAGAGGGAGAGATAGAAATACAATGATGAGAATCACTGATCAGCTGTCTCCTGCTTGCCCCCTACTGGGGATCCAGCCTGCAACCCAGGCACATGCCCTTGACTGGAATGGGATTTGGGACTCTTCAGTTCACAGGCTGATGCTCTAGCCACTAAGCCAAACCAGGTAGGGATGTTTATGTTTTAGGATGAAAACTACTAAGAATATTGGCTGTATTTCCTTCATTTATAAACTGAGCTTTAAAAAAAAATGAATAAAGATTAAAAACCCATAAAACAATATTCCTTGTTTGAAACACTGAATTAAAGAGCAAATTTCTGTGAGTCCTTGATCATTTTAATTTCTATTATTCAGGGTCCTTGAATCTATCTAAATGTATCCAACATAAATATAATGCAAGCCACTTATATAATTTAAAATTTTTCTAGTGGCCACATTAAAAAAGCAAGAAGAGACAAGTGAAATTGTTTTTGTTAATGTTAATTTTATTTTTTTTAATTTGAAAAAATTTTAAATCATCACCTGAGGATATTTTTTCATTGATTTTTTCAGAGAGAGTGAGAGAGGGAAAGACAGAGAGAATTTTCCATTGATTTTTTTTTCATAGAGAGCGGAAGAGAAAGGGAAAGACAGAGGGAAATATCAATGTGAGAGAAACAGATCGGTGGGTTACCTCCTGCACACACCCCAACTAGGGCCTGGGCTTTGGGAGGAGCCTGCAAACTGAGGCATGTGCCCTTGACCAGAATTGAACCTGGGATCCTTCAGTTTGTAGGCCAACTCTCTATCCATTGAGCCAAACCGGCTAGGGCAAGTGAAATTGATTATAATAATATATTTTATTCAACATGTGATCAATATAAAACAATTTTTAATGGGATGGTTTAGATTTTTTTTGTACAGGCTTTGAAATCAAGTGAATATGTATTACACTTACACAAGATTTTAATTTGGACTAGCCATATTTCAACTTCTCAAAAGTCACATGTGGCCAGTGGCTCTCATAAAGCATTATTTAAAAAAAAAAAAAATTACAGTTCAGTATACTTTTGCCCTCACAGGTTTGGCTTAGTGGATAGAGTGTCGGCCTGCAGACTGAAAGATCCCGTGTTTGATTCCAGTCAAGTGCATCGGTTGCGGGCACATCCCCAGTAGGGGGTGTGCAGGAGGCAGCTGATCGGTGTTTCTCTTATCGATGTTTCTCTAATCCCTTCCTCTCTGTAAAAAAAATCAATAAAATTGCCGAAACCGGTTTGGCTTAGGGGTAGAGCGTCGGTCTGCGGACTGAAAGGTCCCAGGTTCGATTCCAGTCAAGGTCATATACGTTGGTTGCAGGCACATCCCCGGTGGGGGATGTGCAAGAGGCAGCTGGTCAAGGGCATGTACATTGGTTGCGGGCACATCCTCGGTGGGGGGTGTGCAAGAGGCAGCTGGTCGATGTTTTTCTCTCATCGATGTTTCTAGCTCTCTATCTCTCTCCTTTCCTCTCTGTAAAAAATCAATAAAATATATTGTAAAAAATCAATAAAATATATTTTTAAATTTTTTTTGAAAAAATTTACAGTTCAGTATACTTTTAATATTGTTTTGTATTCAGCTGTACAGCACAGCGGTTATACAATCCTATACTTAGCAAAGTGCTCCTCCCGATTTTTCTAGTGCCCACTCGGGACCACACATCGTCATCACAATATGATGGGCTCTATTCCCTGTCCTGTACTTTCCATCCCCATGACTACTTTGTAACTGTCATTCTATACTTTTTTAAAAAAAAATATTTTATTGATATTTTACAGAGAGGAAGGGAGAGAGATAGAGAGCTAGAAATGTCGATGAGAGAGAAACATTGACCAGCTGCCTCTTGCACACCCCCTACCGGGGATGTGCCCACAACCAATGTACATACCCCTGACCAGAATCGAACCCGGGACCTTTCAGTCCGCAGACTGACGCTCTACCACTGAGCCAAACCGTTATCGGCCATTCTGTACTTCTTAATCATTCCTTCACTCCTTTCCCCAAACCCCAGCTTTCCTCCCCTCAGTAACCACCAGTCTGTTCTCTGTATCTATGAGTCTGTTTCAATTTTGTTCATTTATTTTTAGATTCTACATGTATGTGAAATCATATGGTATTTGGCCTAGCCAGTTTGGTTCAGTGGGTAGAACACTGGCCTATAGACTGAAGGGTCCTGGATTTGATTCTGGTCAAGTGCACATGCCTAGGTTGTGGGCTCGATCCCCAGCTGGGGATGTGCAGGAGGCAGCAGATCAATAATTCTCTCTCATCATTGATGTTTCTATCTTTCCCCCTCCTTCCCTCTCTGAAATATACGTGTTTTTTTTTGTTTGTTTGTTTTTTTGTTTTTAAATCAAATGGTATTTGTCTTTCTCTGCCTTATTTCACTTTGTATAGTACCCTTTAGGTCAAATATGTCAAACTTGTGACCTGTGGACCACAATGAATATTTTTTTTGGCCCAGCCAATGTAATGGCATGTAAGAAACGTTTTTTTTTTTTTTTTTTTTTTTTAAATATATTTTATTGATTTTGTACAGAGAAGAAGGGAGAGAGATAGTTAGAAACATCGATGAGAGAGAGTCATCCATCAGTTGCCTCTTGCACACCCCCTACTGGGGATATGCCCGCAACCAAGGTACATGCCCTTGACCGGAATCGAACCTGGAACCTTTCAGTCCCCAAGCCAACGCTCTATCCATTGAGCCAAACCGGTCTTGGCTGTAAGAAACGTTTTAATAAAAATTTTGTAACTTAATTTTTACAATGTCCTATTATACATCATTAATGACGAACTACAATGTTTGCTAATGACTGATTACTATAATCCTGCTGCATTCATTTCCCTTACACGCTTTACGCACTGACATACCATTTCTCTCCACTAATACTAGCAGCTAATATTTTAGCAGCCGATGGCCACATCTTTATTTGCTTTATGCTTATTAATTTGTGCAGTTATCCCGTGTCTGGTAAGTTAATGTTCAAGAAAAAAAACATCAATTTTTATTTAAATGTCCTATTAGTTTATGTTAATAACTCATTTATTTCAACCCTTTGTATTCAGCATGTCTCTGCCATGCTGATAAATAAACCTTTCATGAAAATGGAAGCTTTTGATTTTTTGTGGTCCACATACACTTACACCTTGTTTATCTGGCCTGCCTTATATCCTCTAGGTCCATCCATGCTGTTGTAAATGGTAAGATTCCATTTTTTGAGGCTGAGTATTATCCATCGTGTGTATGTACCATAGTTTTACCCACCCCAGGAGAGAGGTTTTTCTCAGTTTTATAGGGAAGGAAAAAGGCTTTCACACTTGTTAGGATGTTCCCTTTTTGCTTTCTCATGACTTCCCTGACCTTTCCCATGACTCTTTGACAACCCCCTCCCCGACTCGGTGTCCAGTGAGATGCCTGGGTCCCTTCCATCTGAAACCTCTGTAATGGTTTGGCTGACTGTTGGTATTCTTAACACTTTTAACGTTGGGGAGCAATAATTACGGTGGGAGCAAAACCTCCATTAAACATAATATTCGGCCGGAACCGGTGTGGCTCAGTGGATAGAGCCTCGGCCTGCAGACTCAAGGGTCCCAGGTTCGATTCTGGTCAAGGGCATGTACATTGGCTGCAGGCATGTCCCCTGAGGGGGGTGTGCAGGAGGCAGCTGGCAGATGTTTCTCTCTCATCGATGTTTTCGGCTCTCGGTCCCTCTCCCTTTCTCTCTGTAAAAAATCAATAAAATATATTAAAAAAAAAAAAAAAAAAGAATAGCCGAAACCGGTTTTGCTCAATGGATAGAGTGTCGGCTTGGGGACTTAAAGGTCCCGGGTTCGATTCCGGTCAAGGGCATGTACCTTGGTTGCGGGCATATCCCCAGTAGGGGGTGTGCAAGAGGCAGCTGATGGATGACTCTCTCTCATCGATGTTTCTAACTCTCTCTCTCCCTTCCTCTCTGTACAAAATCAATAAAATATATTTAAAAAAAAATAAAAATAAATAAAAAAAGAGAATATTCGCAGGTTGTGTTTTTTGTTTGTTTGTTTGTTTTCTGGTTATCCCCCTAAACTTTAACCCATGGAAACCTTCCTAGAATATTTTCATGCATTTCATTCAACCACCAGTGACTTAGTTACCCTAGTGAAGCCGTCCCCTCATCCCTCACCCCCCCCACCCCAGCTGGCGGCCATGTTTGGCTTCTCCTTTGCTCCTCTCCTCGCGGGCAAAAGCCGTTTCAGGATTCCTAGAGCTCAGCGAGGAGAAGTCCCCACGGCGCCCCCTCATCTTGGGCCTCCAGGCCCTGAAGGGGCGGCGGGGCGCCGGTCCTGGGGGCCTCGGGGAGCAGAGGGCCCGGATGGGGGTCTGCGCGGGCGGGTGGCCGGGGCCTCTGAGGCGCTGGGATGGGGACCCCCTGCTAGGCCCCGGGAGCCACGGGAGCCCCGTCCTCCACTGGCGCCTCTACCTCCACAGAGCCGAGCCGCAGCAGCTCAGACAGGACAGCAGCACCGCCAATGCCCCGGCGGCCATGGCGCCCTGACACTCGGGGCAACCGCCCCGCCTCGCGGGTCCCGCCCGTCCAACGGCCAGTGCGCGTGCGCGTATGCGTGCGCATGCGCGTCAGCGGCCCGGCCCGGGCGCCTGCGCATGCGTATCAGTGGCCCGGCGCCTGCAGGGGATGCTTTGATGGAAAATCTAAACCTGGGAGGGCAGAGGTGGGGAGGAGGAGGAAGAAGAGGAAGAGGGAAAGAGGGGGAGAAAAATGGGAGGGATCGGTCATGCCATCCACAAGAACAAATAAAATTAAAATCTAAGGTTTTAGGAAAGGCAGAGCCATGCTTTTTTTTTTTTTTTTTTTTTTTTGAGTGGACTAGCAAAACCACTTCGGAAAACCCGGGGTGAATGAAGATTAAAACTTTCCAGTTGGTGCATCTTTTAGACCCAATCTTCCTTGCCTGTGCTGCAATAACAAACGCGCACCTGGCCGTGCAGAACAGGCGCAGGCACACTCTCTATAAATGACTTTTAGATGGAACATTAATGAGCAGTAACAGGTGCTTATTGAGCACCTACTGTACAACGCTGTCTTGTGCACTTGAGTAAAATAAATAAATAAATAAACAAACAGAGCGTTCTGGTTTACAAAGGGGCTTGTAATCTTGTGGTAAAAACAAGACGAACACAGAAATTTTCCCACGCAATAGTGTGATTTACCTGTTTACTTGTTGGTAGACCAGATAATCTGCATCCTGAAGGGCTGCAATTGTGTCTTTATTCCTCCTTATGTCATCAGGGCCTCATGCCAGAGCAACTGTGGCCTAGAAACACTACCTTAACTTATTGCAGGTTCTCAGTGTTTACTGACTTAATGAATCTTTGAATAAAAATTATAAAAGATGCTCTGGGAACCATTAGAGAACATGATTGCATATGTATGATTTGAACACACACACACACACACACACAATCTTTTTTTTATTTGGGAGATACCACATTTAATGTGATTCTATGCACACCTTTTTTCCCAAAGCAACTTTATTTATTTATTTATTTATTTATTTATTTATTTATAAATATCTTTTTATTGATTTCAGAGAGGGAGAGGGAGAGAGAGATAGAAGCATAAATAATGAGAAGGAATCATTGATTAGCTGCCTCTTGCAAGCCCCACACTGAGGATCGTTGAGCCTGCAACTCAGGCATGTGTCCTAACCAGGATCAAACCCTGATCTCCTGGTTCATAGGTCAATGCTCAACCACTGAGCCACGCCTGCTGGGCATAAGCAACTTTATATCAGAATTCTATGTCAGAGTTAATTTGTGTTGCAGGTGGAAGATACTCCGCAGGAGATATACTCTGGAGTCTAGGGACACCTGAGTGGAATAGACACAAAAGGGCTGGGCTGTGGACTCAGGTTGCTTAGATAGCAATTAAGCCCTCAATAGAACAAGTTAACTTTTAAACCCTGTAAAATAAGGGTAAGCTAGTATGACCTACCTCTATGGTTGTGGGAATTAAAAGAGCTAAGTGCATCACAGTATCTGACATATACTACCCTGTTTCCCCGAAAATAAGACAGTGTCATATTAATTTTTTCTCCCAAAGTTGTGCTAGGTCTTATTTTCAGGGGATGTCTTATCTTTCCATGCGCTAGGTCTTGTTTTCGGAGGAAACACGGGTATCTGACATCGGGGATACACTCCTCCTCCCTGAGCCTATGCTACTAAAGTGTAAAATGAGAAGGGCTAGGAGTCTACTTAATCCCCAGATTTTCAGGTCTAACATGCTCTATCTTATTGCTTTACTTTTGAGTTGGCTCTATTCAATCCCTGTTCCCATCTCTGTTCTTACCCCTAGTCCTTAATTTCCAATTCGAAACCTATACTTTCCCATTCCACTCCATTTGAATTATGAGGTTTCGCCCTTTTTGTTCTGCACACAATCTATTCCCTTAATAAAAACAAGTCATTAAAAAATAATTTACCCCCCTCACTGCCGCTTCAGTGCCTGCCGCCTGTGGGAAGAAGCCAGATAATGGTTCAAGGCCACAGTTGCTTTGGCATGAGGCACTGTGAGAGACTCAGGGGGTTGGGTGTGCCATAAATGCAAAACCACGAATTAAAAAAATAATTAAAAATTGAACGTTTTCAGTCCTAACTGGTTTGGCTCAGTGCATAGAGCGTCGGTCTGCGGACGGAAGGGTCCCAGGTTCGATTCTGGTCAAGGGCATGTACATTGGTTGCGGGCACATCCCCAGTGGGGGGTGTGCAGGAGGCAGCTGGTCTATGTTTCTCTCTCATTGATGTTTCTAAGCTCTCTTTTCCTCTTCCTTCCTCTCTGTAAAAAAATCAATAAAATATTTTTTAAAAAACAACAAATAAAATTGAACGTTTTCAGGGGCTGAAATCTACATGGGGCAGACACTCTGCTCCCAGAATACTTCACTTCAAGCTCAGAGCGCTGCATGCCGGGAGTTGTAGTCCGACGCTGAAGCACGCACCTGCGTGCCCTCCAGTTTGAAAAGCTGGAGACAGGGAGGGTGGGCGGGGCGTGGAGGCTGGCGCGCGCTCTAAGCCCCGCCCCTGCCGCTTCCGTTCTCGGGTTTGCGGGGGCGGGAATGGCGCGCCCGGCCCTGAAAGGGGCGTGGCTTCGGCTCCGGGTGGCGGCGGCGGTTGCGGCTACCAGGGCCTCTCCCTGCGGGCGGAGCTGCTGCCGGGGCCGGCCGGAGCGGGGCAGTCATGGTCCCCCCTTGAGCGGGCCGCCGCGGCGGGGCGCGGGGTGGGGCGTGGCCGGAGGGGGCGGCCCGGCGGGGGCGGGGCCGGGGCGGGGCCGCCGCTGGCCGCCGCTTCCTCTGCATGTGGCTCCGGGCTGCAGAGCAGCAGTTCCGTCCGCGCCCTCCCCGCCGCCGCCCTCCGCCTCTCCCCGGGGCTCTCCTCTCGTCGCCGGAGCCATGGCGTTGGCCGAGACCCACCCGGCAGCATCCTCGCTGCCCAACGGCGACTGCGGCCGCCCCAGGGCGCGGCCCGGGGGGAACCGGGTCACCGTGGTGCTCGGCGCGCAGTGGGGCGACGAAGGCAAAGGGAAGGTGGTGGACCTGCTGGCCCAGGACGCGGACATCGTGTGCCGCTGCCAGGTGAGGCGGCGGCCCGGCTCCGGCGACGACGGGGAGAGCCGGGCCCGGGAGGGAGGAGGTCGGGCCCAGAACCTGGGATCGATCCCCTCTCCAAAACCCGGGATCCCCTCTCCAAAACCCGGGATCCCCTCTCCAAAAACCCGAGGTCCCCTCTCCAAAACCCGGGATCCCCTCTCCAAAAACCCGGGATCCCCTCTCCAAAACCCGGGGTCCCCTCTCCAAAACCCGGGATCCCCTCTCCAAAACCCGGGATCCCCTCTCCAAAACCCGGGGTCCCCTCTCCAAAAACCCGGTGTCACCTTGAGCTTAGCTTCCCTCTTGGCTGTGAGCCGCGGCGACCTGGAGAAATGGCGGGAGGGCAGAGACCCCCCCCCCCCCCGACCTGGGAGGGGGTGGAGGGGGTCTCGGGCTTGCGGGGTTGGGGTGGCTCTGGAGGGAAATGCGGTTTGGAGGGGGGAGCCTTGGAGAGATGATGCGCGATGCCAGGCCGGAGAGCAGGGTCCGGGCTGTGAGGACCAGTTCTCAGCTCAGGACGCGGGGATGGATGCGGGGCGGGTTGGAGGAGCTGCAGCCCGAGGCCTGCCTGCTCCTCACTCCGCCATCCTCCTCCTCCATCACCCACCCACCCACTCGGGAATCAGATGGGTGTGGGTCGTTCCGAAATGCCCCGCAATCCAGACCCACCCACCCACCCCGGCCCCCACCTCGCATGGACCGGGTCATGGCCCCGTTGTTGGGCTCCCTACTTACTCTGCGTGTTAATATTAAAGGGGAGATTATTTTCTTCCTTTTTTTATTTATTAAGGTATTATATGTGTACATATCTTTGTACATATCTTTCCATTACCCCTCCCGCCCTCCCGAGTTTTTCGTCCATTGGTTTTGCTTATATGCATGCATACAAGTCCTTCGGTTGATCTCTTAAGGGGGAGATTATTTTCACTTTGTGGGTCCCTGGAGGGCGGAATCTCCCAGTTCTTTTAACGAGCGACGCAAGGAAATACAGGATGTCAAAAAGCTGGTTATTTAGAAATATTTACCTTGTTACGCTGACATTGAAAGTGAACTTTGAGGGGGGGGAAACGGAATGGTAATCATGTACTTCCTCCTGAGAGGCACGTGGTGTTCGGGGTAAGCTTTCTTCCTATTTGTCTGTTTGCCTCCAAGTAGCTAGCCTGGAGGCTAGGTCTTTGTAAAGGCTCTGGTTACTATTACCAATTTCAAAATTCGGGAGAGTTGAGCAAGAGCCCGTTTCAAAACAGACTGTCATGTAATGTTGGAACGAAATGCCTGCTTTTCGTTCGCAGCATGTTTCTTCTTCGTGAACATGCATGGCACAGTAGGATGATGCCATGTTGTATGTGTTCTGACAAGTTCGTAGGCCCCCTTGATGGGAAGCTCTCCGCCTAAAATTGAATAAATACCATTTGAGCGTGCAGAAACAAGGAAGTAGAAAGCTAAATACAATCATTCTAACTTACTTTGTGGTTTTTGTTTTGTTTGTGTGTTTTTAAAAATAACTTACCTTGTGGTTTTTGTTTTGTGTGTTTTTAAAAATACGTATTTTTATTGATTTCAGATAGGAAAGAAGAGAGGAACATCAATGATGAAAGGGAATCATTGATTGGCTGCCTTTTGCACTGCCCCTACTGGGGATCCAGCCCGCAACCCTGGGGAATTAATTGAACCTGGGACCCTTTAGTCTGCAGGCTGACACTCTATCCTCTGAGCCAAACCAGCGAGGGCTGTTTTGTGTTTCTTTGCATGCAGAAATCCACCCTGGCCATTCTTCAGCTAAGATAGTTGCCCAACTGGCTCTAAGTATTCTCACTAGCACCACCATCTCCTCTCCCTCCATTCTGCTCCTTCGGCACACACCTACTTTCTTACTAACACACTTTCTTACTAACACATCTATCTTCTACTAACACTCCTACCTTCTTACTAACACTCCTACCTTCTTACTAACACTCCCTTCTTACTAACACCCCTACCATCTTACTAACACCCCTACCATTTTACTAACACACCTACCTTCTTACTAACACATCTACCTTCTTACTAACACCCCTACCTTCTTACTAACACCCCTACCATCCTACTAACACACCTACCTTCTTACTAACACATATACCTTCTTACTAACACCCCTACCTTCTTACTAACACCCCTACCTTCTTACTAACACTCCTGCCTTCTTACTAACACTCCTTCCTTCTTACTAACACTCTTTCCTTCTTACTAACACTCCTTCCTTCTTACTAACACCCCTACCATCTTACTAACACACCTACCTTCTTACTAACACATCTACCTTCTTACTAACACCCCTACCTTCTTATTAACACCCCTACCATCTTACTATTAATAACACCCCTACCATCTTACTAACACCTTTATCATCTTACTAACACCCCTACCTTCTTACTATCACTCCTGCCTTCTTACTAACACTCCTTCCTTCTTACTAAAACTCCTACCTTCTCACTAACACTCCAACTTTCTTAGTAACACATCTACCTTCTTACTAGCACTCCTTCCTTCTTACTAGCACCCCTACCTTCTTATTAACACACCTACCTTCTTACTAACACACCTACCTTCTTACTAACACATCTACCTTCTTACTAACACTCCTACCTTCTTACTAACACGCCTTCCTTCTTACTAACACTCCTTCCTTCTTACTAACACTCGTACCTTCTCACTAACACTCCAACTTTCTTAGTAACACATCTACCTTCTTACTAGCACTCCTTCCTTCTTACTAGCACCCCTACCTTCTTACTAACACACCTACCTTCTTATTAACACACCTAACTTCTTACTAACACACCTACCTTCTAACACTCCTACCTTACTAACACTTCTTCCTTCTTACTAACACATCTACCTTCTTACTAACACTCCTACCTTCTTACTAACACTCCTTCCTTCTTACTAACACTCCTTCCTTCTTACTAACATTCCTTCCTTCTTACTAACACATCTACCTTCTTACTAATACCCCTACCTTCTTACACTCCTACCTTCTTACTAACACATCTACCTTCTAACACTCCTACCTTCTTACTAACACTTCTTCCTTCTTACTAACACTCCTTCCTTCTTACTAACACTCCTTCCTTCTTACTAACACATCTACCTTCTTACTAACACTCCTACCTTCTTACTAACACTCCTACCTTCTTACTAACACTCCTTCTTACTAACACCCCTACCATCTTACTAACACACCTGCCTTCTTACTAACACTCCTGCCTTCTTACTAACTCCTACCTTCTTACTAACACATCTACCTTCTTACTAACACTCCTTCCTTCTTATTAACACTTCTACCTTCTTACTAACACACCTACCTTCTTACTAACACCCGTACCTTCTTACTAACACTTCTACCTTCTTACTAACACACCTACCTTCTTACTAACACTTCTTCCTTCTTACTAACACTCCTACCTTCTTACTAACACATCTACCTTTTACTAACACTCGTACCTTCTTATTAACACTCCTACCTTCTTACTAACACCCCTGGAGGAGTTGGCCTTGAACTGCTGCCTCACTCTGTCTTCGAGTTGCTCCAGAAGCCCAGCCTTCGCTTCCTTTTGTCTTCAGACCAGATCTGGCCATGCTGTTGGGGAGGAAGTCTGGAAATACACACCTTGCTGGGTAGAAAGAGGGAGCCCGGCCTGTTCGCTCCTGCATGCACTCCTGGCCATCTTCCTATCTGGAAATAGTTGGGCTCAGGTGGAGCTACGTTATGTAGCTGGAAAGAAGGTTTTGGGAGTGGTATCACTATACCATTTATTAGAGAAGATCTCCAGTTTTAATAGCAGCATTAGTTTGTAGATGGGTTACTGTGAGAGTAAGCCTGATGGAGGCCCTGGACCAGTCTGCTCTGCTGTCCTGGGAAGGTCTGGAGAGAAGTGATTGACAAGGAGCCAAGGGTGGCTTTCCAATGTGAGCTGCAGAAAGGAGAAACAAGTGAGCACACTTGTTAGGCAGGCTTGCCTCAATTGTAAACTTTTGACTTACTACCTTCCTTCCATCATCCTCAAATCTTTATATTCCTACAGTGTCTTAAGAGCTCATATTTTGAGTTTGGATTGCCTTGTTTGATGATTCAAGTTTTGTGGATTGTTGAAAATAGGTACTTTGTTAGAATTTAATATATTTTTTTGTGTGATATTCATCCCATAAACTCAAATTTTGTACAGATTGTTTCTTCAGAAGATGTAGGTACATAATGTATCAATGTCTCAATAATGGAACCACAAAATAAGGAATTTCTTTCAATATAAAATACAGTTTGTAAAAGAAGAACTGGCCCAGCCAGTGTGGCTCAGTGGTTGAGCATTGATCTGTGAACCAGGTCACAGTTCAATTCCCAGTCAGGGCACATGCCTGGGTTGCAGGCTCCATCCCTAGTGGCGGGGTATGCAGGAGGCAGCCTCTGTTGGTTAGTGATTCTCATCATTGATGCTTTTAATCTCTCCTTTTCTGAAATCAATAAAAAGATATTAAAAAAACAATAACTATGTTTTTCTTTTTGGAAAGAATGGATGCAAAGCCAATGGCATTTTTATCACCATAGCACTTAAGGCCTGTGTTTCAGATGCAGGATTTATAAGGAATTGTTTATAACTTGGTAGATACTCTTGATATATGTGCCCCTGTGTTCATTGCAGCATTACACTAGGTGTTTGGATAAAGAAGGTGTGGTCCATCTCTTCTGTAGAATACTACCCAGCCATGAGAAAAGATGAAATACTTCCATTTGTGACAACATGATGGATATTGAGAATATTTTGCTAATGAAATAAGTCAGAAAAAGCTAAGAACCATATGATTTCATTCAAATGCGGGACATCAAACTGAAACTCATAGGCAGACAACAGCATGGTGATGACTGAGGGTTAGGGGAGAAGATGTAAAGAGTAAAGGGGGCAAAATACTAGAATATGGTGACAGAAGATGACTTGACTTTGGGCGGTAGG